TCATGCAAATAATTGAAAACACGTTGAAGTTAGGTAAACTCCTTGTGCCAAAACTTGAAATGATTTTCTAAACTTTGTTTGTTAATTTTATATAGGTTTAAGTGGAAAGATAGAGGTTTTAAAGGTTGTTTGAAGTTGTAAAGATTTTTTATAAACACCCTGTATATATATGAATCCAAACGGATGGTCAATCAATCAATCAATCAATAAATCTTTATTCAATACATACAACAAGTGTACATGAATGTGTCTTCAACCTAAAACTACTTCACATGATTTCACCTACTTCCCAACTTGCTTAGTCATACAGTTTTTTTTTTGTTACAGTGTTCAAAACTTTCTAAACTATAAAATTCGCTATAAATTAAAAACCCCTTAAGTTTATTTTTGAATTTATTTACACTACTTTCGTTTCTAATACTACTGGGGAGGGAATGCATGAATTTGATTCCAATATAATTAGGACTTTCCTTAAATTTTTCTTTTTTATGTTTTTTAGTTATGAAGTTTAGTTTGTTTCTAGTGTTATAATTATGTACGTCTTTCTGTCTTTGAAGTTCTGATTCATGATTTTTAACATACATTATCGTCTTATAAATATAGAGACTGAAAACGGTAAAGAACTCTAATTCTTTAAAATGATTTTTACAGGATTCGTTTATATCGAGATTAAGGATACACCTAATGGCTTCTTTTTGTAAATGTAAAATTTTGTTTAAATTGAATTTACTTGTTCCTCCATAAATTTCTATACCGTAAGAAATATGTGAGTGAATAGTAGCAAAGTAAACCTTTCTTAAGATTTCTCTGTTGCATAATGGATATAAGCGTCTAATAGCAAAAATACTTGAGCTGATTTTATTACATAAGTTGTCAACATGTGAGGTCCAATTAAGTGTGCTATTTAAGGTGAGGCCTAAAAATTTAGTTTCATAAACAAAATTGTTAAACAGTTCTTTTCTAGATTTTTTAGATTCAAACGCAATGAACGTTGTTTTATTTTCATTTAGTAAAAGATTTTTTTCATTCAAGTAATCTTTAATTATTGTGAGTGAATCATGAGTTTTATTTATAAGAAGCTCCATATTCTTATCATAAATCGACATACTTATGTCATCTGCATACAAGCACAGAGTATTATTTTCTACATGTTCAAATAAATGTTTTGGCATCCCTCCCAAGTAGCACAAGAACAAGAATGGGCCCAACACTGATCCTTGTGGCACTGAGTATTTTACTGTCCTAACCTCAGATTTAATATGGTACATTTTATTCCCACTTAAATGAACAATGTTAACAAACTGTTGGCGTCCCTCCAGATAAGATTCAATCCAGCTTAACTCTTTGCCACCAATTCCATACATTTTAAGTTTATTTAGTAACTTTAAATGGTGCACGCTGTCAAATGCCTTGGACATATCCAAAAAGGCACCAATTACTTTGTTGTCCTCATCCAACTTTTCCAACACATTTTCAATATAAGATATAAGTGCTGTAGTGGTGGATTTGTTTTTTCTATAACCATGCTGCTCTTTATCTAATAAGTTATTAATTTCAAAATAATCCACTAGCTGAAAAAGAAAGCATTTTTCAAATAATTTTGAAAGAGCTGGTTGAATTGCCAATGGTCGATAGTTATTTGGATCTTTTTTGTCTCCTTTTTTATATACCGGGATAATTTTTGAAATTTTCAGCTTATCAGGATAAACACCTGTTATAAGTGAAGTATTAATGACATGTAAAAGTGGCTTTAATAAAACAGATTTAGATTCTTTTATTATTCTAATCGGAATTTCATCATAACCTGATGACCATTTAGGTTTTAATTGGTCTATTATGGATATTAAAATTGGTTCATCAATTGTTTTGCACTTAAACTTAGTGTTTGAAGCAAAATTTTCAGAACTAGTTTGGGTTTTATTCACATTTGGTAAAACATTATGTTCCACCATATCAGCAAAATTATTGTTTAATATATTTGAAACAGCATATGGGTCCTCTATTTCGGCACCATTCTGCATTAGTATAACATTATTATGCACCTTATCTTTTTTACTTTTAGTTTCAGAGTTCACAATCTGCCAAACAGTTTTGTTAACATTGGTCGAGTTCCTAATTTTATTGTTAAAATGATTTTTTTTCTTAAGTTTATAATTTTTTTATATCTTTTTTTACGTTCTTTAATACAATTCTTTAACTTAATGTTACTTCTATCATTCCTGTACAATTGGTGCTCTGCAATTAATTGACGGTGCTCATTGATAATTTCTTAATATTGATAATATTGATTAAAAAATTAATATTGATAATTTCTTTCTTAATTTTTTAATTGATAAAAAATATAATTAATGGTGTTTTTGTCCATCCATTAATTATATTTTAATGTTTTCTAAAATAACCATGTTTTTAAACACACAGCAATTTCTCAATCACCTCAAACATATTTGAGTAGATGATATAAATTTCATGTTCCAAAATTGAAATTAAGGACGATGATAAAAATTAAAATAGTTAACTTATTTATGTTAAAATAATTTGTTGGTGTGCTAATTGGAACACAAAATATCACAATAAAATATTTGTGAAATTAAAAACATAAACATAACTACTGTAAACAGACAGTTCTCATTGTGTATCACAGTTTTTTGTTGCTGCTTAGTTCAAATTAGCTGTTTTCATAAATTAAAAAAATAGCCTAATAATGCTGCACCCTGTTGGTAAATCTTATAACTTTTAATGCTTTTGCATATCATAGAACCAACCTTTTTAGTTGAAACAGCTGACTGAATTCTTTAATTCCATTTAAATATGAG